TGCCTCAGTCTCCTTTTTCCCTTCCCCATGTTTCTGTCTCTGATCTGCTGTTCTATCCATTCCTCGGAGCTGATTATGTGATCCCATCACAGTGCTTCTAGACTACCATATGTCGCAAATATGTATGTCCCAGATACAGTTTAATACAAAGGAATGTACACATTATATTTTAGGAAAAATAACAGTGAAAGGAAGTAAATCCCAAACAGACTTTTGACAGAATGTAACAAAAGAAAGATTCAGGTATATGAATCTACGAATACTAATGCAATTAAATCAATTGTCACATTTGTATTAAATATTTTGTTTGCAACAGATTTTCTATACACATTTAAATGCATTGCAATGTACTGTTTCACATATTAAGCATTTTAAGTTCCACTCCATTCATACATAAACCTGCACAATTAAATAAAATCTTCCAAATGCAAGTTAATGTCATTTTTCTGTTATACTAAATTTCTTTATAATTTACCTCTTGTACTTTATTTATATATTTATTTCTTAGTATTTAACAAACAGTCCTATTCATAAAAACAGTAACAATTGCACATACTCCATTGCAACACATAATTGTCCTGTATTAAACATAACCTCCATTTTCTTTTAAGCAACATGATGAGGAATCAGTTTTATAAGTTATGAAATGTATATATTTACATGCCATCAGATATAAAACATTGCATTATTACCATAAAAATGCATATAGTCTGAATGGGCAATGGAAACAGATTAAGTAACATTTCCAAAGGTGAAATGGATATGTATGTGAAGGGGAAACATTTGGCTGACTATGGAGAAAGTTCAAGGTAATTGGATAGTTTCTTCAGAAAGCCAGCACATGTACAATTGGCCAAATGGTTCTGTGTCACTTTGTGATTCTATAAATCTCCTTTTCCATGTTCTCCTTGCAAAATATGAAAGAAAATCTATTTTTTGGCGTCAGTAGAGTGTATACCTGGCATGCCAATCCTGTCTGTCACACTTCAAGTATCACATTTCTACACCATTTAATTAGATCTCCCCACCTGCCAGCTACTGACTTAAAATGTATACCAAGAATTTCAACAGGAGATCTCCAGCAATTTGTTCAAGGTTTCTGTCAGTTATAGAAGGTGATTAGGAGAATCCAGTGGAAATGTTTCCATTGTTTTTAATAGAACTTTCTAACATTACAGGTTTCACAATAATATGATTAAGCCTTGATATGAGATTGCATTTTCGAGAATCTTCATCAGCTTTGTTATTTAAAGGCCTCAGTCTCTGTTCAAAACCTCAGAGGTATTATTTTGTATCTGTAAATCCCAGTCAGAATAGGTGCAGTATTTCCCAGCATGTACAATACATTTTGCTTTCAAGGAAGAAGAGTGGATAAAGGGTAACACTGATAGTCTTGCCCCAAGATGCCTACTGAAAAAACAACTTGCTTCATTGTTTCTGGATAAAATTCTTAGTGACTTCATTGAAGATAATTTAAATAGTGTTATACAGCCCTTCCCCATTTCCACAGCTTAGTGCCCATATGAAAACAGTATCATGAAAAATGATATGCAGACAAGGACCCTCTGGTCCATCCAGCTAGTCCCAGCATTACACATGATGTTTTAGAAAGTCTCAAAAAAAATTCCAAGAGTGGAAGCAGCTTAAAAATATGAGGTGCTCCTGCTGGGGGCTGGGTCAGGTTTTCTTGCACGATTACATTACTCAGCTTATTGCATACTCATGTGTGGGCAAAACACCAAATTCTATGGGCAGGCAGGCAGAAGATTCTGCTTCCTGCAAGGAGGCAACTTCATGGCACCGTATGTAAAAGGTATCTGGATAGCCTTTCACTTGCTGCAACCCAGAAGCAAAATTCAACCTCTGCTCATAATTCCCACACACCCCTGGAGATGTCAGAGACTCAGAAAAAAGTAGCACCATGCTTTAGCAATGTCTCTGTAGCAGCTGTCCACAAGAGAAGGGAAGTGCTTTTCCCTAGTGATGGCAACAAGAGGCCTTCTTGACTCTTGAAGGCAGCCTAGACAGAGGTGACGAATTTTGGCACTTGAGGGCAATGGTCTGAAAAACAAAGAAGTGGATTTTGCCAAATTCTTGTAATTCACTGGGTTTCTTGTTGATGAAACTGAATTGCTGGCAGCCATAGACTGATGGAAGATCTTCTAGGCAAGCTATGGCTCAGATGGAAATTGGGCTGGTTCCAGGTCTTAGGAGAATCATCATAGTTTAGCTTTTCAGGTTTACACGGTAATCACAATACTGAGATGTGGAAACTTTATCAGGTTTTCAAATATTTTGACCAAGAGAAAATTTCAGGAGAGAGAAACTTGCCTTCTGACTCCCTATGTTTCTTGGAACAGAATGCAATACCAAAAAGGGTTGCTCGACAGCAATCAGTACAGGTCGCCATAGTCTCTTCCAACCAGATGTTCTTGCACTTAAGGACAATAATATCTGCCCAAAAAACTTTGCTTGGCTGTTTTCCAAAGTCACTTTGCATTCTGCAATAAATTATTGAGCTCATTTCTTGGTAAAACCCTGTTTCACCCAGAAAGTGTCGAAATATTTCAGTATCAGTTCAGTTTTTCCATGTAGTTCATAGATATAAATACGTAGTTCCAACACTTTGAGGGAGAGAAATCCTTTCCTGTTCAGGAATCTGGCTGGACACAGAGCTCTGAGTGATGCATGCAGTCAATGGCCCCTTGTACCTGAGGGAATGTAG